AACACAAACACATCGTTACAAACAACACAAACACATCGTTACAAACAACACAAACACATCGTTACAAACAACACAAACACATCGTTACAAACAACAAACACTGCGTTACAATCAACGTACACATCGTTACAATCAACGTACACATCGTCACGTACACAGAAGATCACGCAGTCCCGACCTGACCTCGCGATCTCACCACGCGACCTGACCTCGCGTTGACCTCTAACACTCACCCGATGATGTAGGAGCGGCGGCGGCGGCGCGTAAGCCGCGTGTACACCGTGTCCTGGATCTCGTCCGTGCTCCACGGGTAGACCATCTCGTGGCCCGCGGCGTCTCGCTTCACACGCACGCTCGTGTGCAGCACGATGCTCACGTTGCGCAGAAACTGCTGCTTGGTGCGCTCGAACGCGTCGCGCGGCTGCAGGAGGTAGACGACGAGCGTGCCGGAGACGAGTGACACTTCGCCCGTGTCGCAGTCCAGCCCGTCCCAGCCGCAGCCCGCCTGCTGACACTCGCTGTTGCAGATGCGGTTGCCGTAGTGACGCAGGCAGTAGTGGTCGTTGATGGGGCTGCACGGGTCGACCTGCGGGAGCGGAGAAGACGAGTATGGTTAATTGATGGTCGTTTAATTAACGTTTTTTTTTAATTAACACGGATTTTTAATCAACGGTCGGTGGGTGACGTAGCAAAATAACAAGAGATCGAAAACACATAAATAACAAGGGATCGACACACAAAATCAAATAATCCTGTCTCATCCCACCCATCCCGACTGCTGCCGGTGGCGACGACGCTAACTAATACAGACTAATTAAGCAATTAAGAACGTTAACTGCATTCAACCAACACATGGCGACAATGGCGCGCCCGGCGGCGCCCCCTGGCGGCGGTGATGACTCACCTCATTGCAGTCGTATCCGTCGAACATGCAGTGTCGATTGTTGCACTCCGGGTTGCAGACTCCGTCGGCGAACACCTCCCAGCATCGCGGCCCGCCGGCCACCTGCGTACAGTTCTGCCACGGGTCGTAGTGCAGCGAGCAGTCCTGGCTGTCCCACTGACACGCGTACGTGTTACACTCCTCCTGTGAGCGAGAGAGAGAGAGATAGAGGACGGTGAGGGAGGGGGTTAGAGTGGAGCTACGCTGTGTGTACCCAATTCGCAGCTTCTTTTCGCTTGTCGTTTATCAGACTTCCAGATTTTTTTGCTGTTGTTCTTCAGGCAATCTTTTCTCAAACGCAAAATACAATTATTTATATATATATATATATACATACATACATGTATGTAGGCCTATGTGTGTATATTATATATATATGTATATATATACACATATATATTCATACACATACGTCTTATTTATAACGAGTATTCATATATAAACGTCTCTCGCGCGCGCATTACGACGACGACACGTCTAGCCACTCACGTCGCAGCGTCCGTTGCCGGCCTTCTCCTCGCACTTGTTTTCCTCGCAGTAGCGCATCTCGTCATTGGTCGGCGTGATGCCTGTGCGTACGGGCACGTTGTGTCCGAGGCCGCCGTTAAAACCCAGGTCGTACTGGTCGCAGCGCACGCCGTTCCAGCTGCGCGGACACTCGCACGCGAATCCACCTGCAAACACGCCACCAGAGGTCAGGATGGGAAGGACGTTCGTGTGTTGTTCACGTTCCTCTCGCGAGATCACGTTGGCAGGTGTGCAATGAGTATGGCCTACATGCGATTTATTGTAAGTACGAGAGACGCTATAGCTTCAGATTATGAATACTGGTAACTGTTATTGGAAAGATGTTACTATATATACCTACTGATTTCAAGATATTATTATTTTACTGTTACAATATCTATTTATTACAAGATATTGCGATGTGTTAAATACAAAGTTATGCGTATTAGATCAGTTATAGCGAGATCAGTGCATTATAGTGATTAGTACATTAGTAAGTGGTACACTTGTGATTAGGTCATCAGTGATTAGTGCATTAGTACATGATGAGTGTATTAATTTAGTACATGATAAGTGCATTAATACATGATTAGTGCATTAGTACATGATAAGTGCATTAGTGCGCGAGGACACCGCGCGACTCACCGACTTTGTTGATGCACTGGCCACCGTTGCGGCAGGGTGAGGATGAGCAGTCGTCGTACTGATCGTACTCGCAGTGCTGGCCTGCCGTGCCCGACTGACAGTTGCACTGGTAGCCCATCTTGTACGGCACGCAGTCGGCTGCATTCTGACACGGGTTGCTAGCGCACGGGTTGAACACTCCCTCCTTGTACTCACACTCGCGCCCTACAGAGTGGAGATGCCGCATTATATTTTAATGTTTTTTATTTTTATTTATTTTTTTAATAGATATATTTGAAGCATGCAGTTAGTACATTGTTTCAATGAATAAGTTACTCTGCTTCAGTCTTCT